CAGGCTTGTGCTGCCAGAAACCCTAGAATTGGGCCTAGCATCCAACTGTCGCCTTACCCTTTTTGCCCGGCTTCCTCAGTGCCCTCATTCCCGGAGTCGTAATTTCCTTGCCTGGGGGCGCGGGAGTGGAGGGGAGCTGACAGCAGCCTGACAAAGGTGGGTTGCAGGAGGAGCCTCACGGCCGTTCTCCAGCCACGCTTTGAAGTCAAAGTGCAATCGTATGCGTCTCTGTGCATCGTTGAGGGCTCAGCGTGCTGGTTTAGTAGTTGAGCCGAGAAAGCTGCGCTGCTTTAACAGGGTGTAACTTAAGGAGAGGTAGGCACTGCAGTTAGGAAGGAGTTACGGCGAAGAATAAACGTGTTGTATATTGATGCTGCATGCACAGTTGCCTGATGTGCCTTTTGTGACTGTAATGTGGCAGCCAAAGCATCAGTCTGATTTTAGGTGGCAGTTACTTAGTTGTTTGCTCTGAGGCTTTGGTACAGCTATCAGTACCTTGCATTGGAAGATCTGGGCAGGAGAAGCTGCTTCTTCTGGCAGGTGTCATTGTGTGGGTTTTTGAGTCAAGCACAGCAAGTACTTGGCAATTACATCTTAAGGAGAAGCCCTAGGCTGCAGTATAGCTCCTAGTGATCCATCGTAAGCATAAGGGAATCGGCTGAAGTTTTGCGGTCTTGTATGTGTCAACCCTTTAATGCCTTTTCTGAAAAGTCTCGGAGTCAAAGTCTTCATGATGTTCTGAAGATATGCTGGTTTTATCAGAGTAGCTCAGCTTCCTAGGCTGTCTATCCTGAAGACTGGACTTTTGCTAGCCAGATAGCTTATTGCCCTGAAAAAACCTAAAAACACCTAGATTTGAGGGAGGAGAAAGGAGGAGCACGGTAAGCGTGCACTTTAGTAATGTGGGTTGTGTGCCTGAGTGTTGCCAGTCAGTATTTGTTTATGGAGCTGGAGATGGGGGATGCAGTTTGAGGTGGATTGAGCACGTTTTGTGCATACTCCAGCTGCCTGAGTCAAGGTGCCCGATGACATTCATGGGAAAGGCTGCTGAATGTTTCTCTTTTTTTCTTCTTACCACCTTCTCTTTCACTGTGGCTGATTCAGTCAGTCATCAGGTCTTAGCAGACCCTGGTATGAAATTTGGCTAGTTTTTGCATTTTAAGTTCATCTTGTCTAGAAAGCTTTGTTTCCTCTGGAAAGGTTTCCTTCTGTATGTCATGCTATTATCAGCGTTATAACTGGGCAAGTAAAGTAAAACACCATAAAAAAAACAAGAGACAAGGCAGTGTATGTACGATAGAGCACTGCGATGGTCTTGGCGTGACAATGCCCAGTGCTGAAAAGCTGCTGAAAGCTTACCTGAGAGGAATTCAGTGAACAGAGTCTGCCTGCTTGCTGCAGCCCCTGTACACTATACTAGCCGTGAGGGTTACAGACCTATCTATGCCCTCTTAGTGCTTGTGGGTGTGATACGTGTCGTGAGTGACCACCAGATGCAATTGTGTTTCAGAGCTTCATCATGTCCTCCAGGGACTGGAACAGTTGACATCATTGGAAATAGATGTAAAGAATAGGAAATGTGGGTAGTAATGGCTAAAATGTGTGCATTGTTCATATGAATATCTCAGTTCTGCTCCTCAGGATTTCCAAAAGCAAAATCCTGCACCAGGGACATAGCAAGTATCACACTTACAGGCTCCTTCCATAAAGTGGGTTCTGTAGCCCACAGGACCTCCCAAAAATGCATTTGGAACAGCATCAGTTAGGAGCAGGCTGCTTTTCGGAGGTTGTCTAGCAAAGCCTTCAGCCTTGCTGAAAGAGATGGCCAAAACTCAGCACGGAGTTGGAAGCACTGTAGGCATGATGCCGGCTAGTCATGAATCCTGGGTCAAAGCTAATCGGTAAGAGAGATTTACCCTGTCAGCTGCCTGTCAGAGTGAACTCTAGAGCTTTTCATTGCTTAGCTTGTAGCTGCTGGGTCATCGGCTCAAGTGCTGTTGGAGGTGTGTGCTGCCAACGTGCTGTTTCCCTGTGGTCTCCCAGCAGGGTTGTTTTGCAGCTGCTCAGGCATCAGTAGTTCTCTTCTACCCCATGGGTGATCAGTGTAGGATTGCAGCAGCAGGAGAAGCAGAGTCTGGGCAGGGTCCCCAGGGCTGGGTGGCAGAACGGCTTTGGTGTTACTGGAGGCCTCTTGTGGGTACAGGCAACTGTGAACACTCTGATGTTCTCTGCCAGCCTGTTCCCTGAAGCGGATCTTCTGTGGAGCTCAGCAGGCCTTGCTCCAAGCAGAGCCATCTCCTTTCCTGTTGGCAGACTGAGAGGTTTGGTTGAGAAGGGCAGCAACAAGTCCGCAGGTTTTCTGAAGGCTTTTCTGTTTGCAAAGCTGATAGTGACTTCTTCAGGTTTGTCATGTTTCCTAGTGCTTGATAGTAGCACCTTTTAGATGGTTGTGGACTCCTTCATAACCAGTTCTGGTTAGCTTTCAGATATTCAGTCAGTCATTTCTTCAGAGGTGAAGGATCCTGCATACTTACATAGGAATTTCACAAAAAGTGGTGGTAGTTGCTCCTGAGGGATGCTTCCGCTGATGCTTCAGTCTGTTCCCTGTCTGTAGCAAGACATTACAAGTTCTTTGAAGGTTTGTGTGTTTTTCTTGTCTTCATCCTTGTTGCCATGGAGGAGGCTCATCAGCTGCCTGTAACAAGGAGTATCTGCATTACAAATTGCTGAGTTTCTGCATCACATGCCACTGCATTTGTGTACCTGTCCCTTTCCACTCCCACCTAGCCAGTGAGCCGTTGTGCTCCTCTCTCTCAGCAAGGTACCAAAACAATTGCAAGGTTAGTTGGGCTTTCCTAAATACAGAGGAGGACCTACCCACAGTGATGTGGTTCAAAACTCGTGCTGGCATCCCCCTCAGTTCTTGAGGAACTGCAGGATTTTTACTGCATTGCCTTCAAAGAAGGAAGGTCCCGGCTATCTTCTACCTTGTCTCCTGCTCTGTTGGGACAGGTGTCCTGCAGAGCAGCAGGCACTTTGCTTTCTGCACAGAACAAACCTTGTGCTGCTTTGTGCCTGTGATTTAGGAGGAAACACATGCAAGGACTTTCTGGATGATTGTGTCTCTGGGTACAAGTAGGCTGGTTAATTGACATCAGACCTAAGAAGTTCTGTGGATTGAAGGAGCCCTTTTCTTTCTGGCAAGGCTTTAGTGTGAAGAAAAAAGTTTCATTTTCTTATGCTGGTCATGTATTGTGGAAACACAGTATTCCCTCCTTAGAGAGGACTTTCTCTGTAGTAGGCTTTTTATGACTATAATAGTTACATATGTCAGGAAGGTCAAATATTACTTTCCTGTAGTCAGGATTACAGTGTTCAGCGGTCTCGTTTGCTACATGTTATCAGAGGTGCTTTGGTGCAAGTGTGTTCTTGTGTTTGCTGCAGTAGTAAACAAGCTAGAGAAAAAGCAGAAATTCTCAAAGTGCAGGGAAACACTAATATTCTTGCTATAAAACCCATCTCCTACATCTCTGATACACTTCTGGCACATGAATGATCGTAGAAGAACTTAGAAGTTTACTTGCCGTAGTCCTCAGATTCCCAAGCTTTGGTCTCTGTTGCTGTGGCATGTGTGTAGTCCGGCTAGAGGCAGTGGCCAGTGCCTGGGCACAGGAATCTGTTTGTGCAGATTCAGTTCTACAGTGAAGGAAATGTCACCTTACTAAGTGGATGCTGTGGAGTGTTTTTGCTAGCCAGCCTCAGGCATTTGGTGTGCAACTGCTGTTACTGGTAATGGAATGAGAAGTCGTTTCTCAAGCTTGCTTTTTGCAAAGTGAAATTTGTGGCCATATCCATTTATCTCAGCCTGAAATGATTTATTTAGTTGTCTGTCTGTGCTAATTTAATATATTTAATTTTTAGGACACCTCTGCATCTTGCTTGTGCAAACGGCCATGTGGATGTTGTTACGTATCTAGTAGAAAACAAGTGTAAGCTAAATCTTTTTGACAATGATAACAGATCACCACTGATGAAGGTATGTGGAATGTTATGTTCTTGCAAGTGGGGCTTATTGATTATGCACTAAATGATATGTAACTTGCAGGATTCTCTACATAGACCTGTGCAGAAACATGCATATTGTAATTAGCATGGAATAGGCATATGTTAGCTAATCTTTGAAGGTGCTCTTATTTTCCAGCATTGGGAAGCAGAGTGAATTGTAACAGCGTGAAATGTAAATGCTGGAAGTTTTTCCTTTTTTGTGTGTTGTTCCCAGGCAGTACAGTGCCAGCAAGAAAAATGTGTGGCTATTCTGCTAGAGCATGGTGCCGACCCGAATCTGGCAGATGCTGACGGCAACGCTGCCCTTCACCTTGCTGTCCTATCTCCTAATACAGCTGTAGCGGGGCTGTTACTCGAGCATAATGCCGATATTGATGCCCAGAATAAGGTGAATTTTTATATTTGTTAAGGAAGTTCTTTCAAAAAGTTGCATTAATATTTCTCTTGAAGAGTTTTTTGACTTTGATTTTTTTTTAACTTGATTTATTTATCTGTCCTTTCAGGAGGGATATACCCCACTTATTCTTGCTGTCTCAGAACATCACGAAGAGATGGTAGAGTTTCTTCTTAAAAAAGGAGCTGATGTGCATGCTCGAGATCAGTGTGAAAGGTGAGGAGTTTGTCAAAACTCTGCATGGGTGTCTCTAGTATTCTTTAGGTTGGATTGATGAGAGGCATGGGAATGAGCTCTGAAAAAAAACAGGGAGCCACACAAAAGGAGCTATTTCTGCGTGACTTGTGAAAGCAGGTCTGCACTTGGCTGCTGTCACACCTCAGTGGATGCTTTTTGCATTGAAGATTGCAAGAAGCATTGTCTGTGGTGGCCCTTCTGGCAGGAGACGTGCCGTTAGCTCAACAGCATTGCCTCAGTTTGGAAAAACCCCTCCTGCATAGCAGCATAATTTGTATGTAAGTGTTGTCTATGTGGAAGCTTTGTCTGAAGAATTTAATTGTTTTGACTCCCTGTCGCATTTTATTGTTGCTCTTAATACTGCTTTTTTTTTTTTCCCCATTCATTTTAAAATAGTGGGGAAAATACTTTTTTGGAGAGCAAATAGGAATAAAAATAGTTAAAGTGTCTGTGTAAAATGATCTATTTCATATCATATTTTGGATGTTTCAGAACCCCACTTATGACTGCTGCTTCTGGTGGGGAGCTTAATTTGATAAAAGTTCTTCTTCGGTACGGTGCTGATGTTTCCCATAAAGACACTAATGGATGGACAGCTGAGGATTATGCTGTTATTCATGGATATTCTAGGTAAATTTAAGTTTATCCTTAGAATAAGTTGTCAGTTATCAGTGTGACTTATGAACATTTTTGGTAACAGCACCAAGGTTTAATGGTGTGTTGAGATCTGTCTTGAAGCTGTGCTCAGTGACAACATCCGATACGTATCATTGCTGTGTCTAGTGTTAATTTGGAAATTGAGGAAAACTTCCACCCAGAATTCTCTGTTAGGTTTCAAGTTTTGTTGCTAAGCTCGCATCTGCCCAGTATAAACTCTAAAAAAGTGTCTGTACCTTGCAGTTATCCAGAGGTGGAACTTGGCAAACTGAAATGCATGTAAACCCTCTCCCCCGACCAGCGCCATTGTCCTTACTTCCACTACAATGACCAGGAACTACCAGTCTTTTGTTTCAGAGGAGATCTCAACTGATACCTCTTTGATTAAAATCTTAAGGAGTTTTACTCCTCTTATGCATAGCTTTGTACCTGTGGGTGTTCCTTCTCTGGGGTGGTTATGTGTGCTTAAAAGCTAGGCTGAAAAAAATGTACCAAGCAGGAGTTAATAACTTCATAGGTATGAATATGCATCTATAGAATGAACATGACTGTAGAGAATATTGAACTATGTAATAATCATGCAGTAAGTGCTGTATTACCCTTAGCGAATACATGTGAGTATATGAATTCGTATGGCTATGAATATGTGTAGGATGGATAATAAGTGGCTGTTAACTATTCTATTAAATGGTATATGCAAGTATGTGGTTATTTTTACCAAATACATTTCCTCTCTTTCTCTATATAGTCTTAGTAAACAACTGGCAGAATATGCAGACTGGGAAAACACAGGAGAAGCTTCTGCAGGTGGTGCACAAGGCATCATGGTACTTGGCACTCCACACCGGGCAGGAGCTGCTGGCTTTACGTTGGGTGCACCTGCTGTGGACAGAGGAGGTAGGATCCTTAACCATGGAGGAGTTCATGAGGAAAATCACTATGGCCTTTTCTTTAGGTGGTTTGTATTGTTCAAGCTTATTGTGTTCACCAGTGACTCAGATGGAGTAGCACAAGAAGTTTTGTGAATGTGCTTATTTGTTGCTAGTTGGAGGTGCTTCTTCTCAGGCTGTGAAGGCAGTTGTGATTTGTGTGCTACATGTCCACATGTAGGGTTGTTGCCTTCTGCCCATCAGATTGCCCACCTGTATGGGTTTTCCTAGAGAGAGAGAAAAGGGGGACAGGGAAGGAACTAGGCCAGAGTGTTTTTTGCTTTTCAGGTGTGTCCTTTTACCTACAGATGGCCATTCAGATTGTGAAAATCCAATTGCAAAAGCAGTAGGTTCATCCTGAGTAGTCGTTCATCTTTCTGTAGTTGGGAAGCAACAGATGAGTTAGCAGGGAGATAAGTGTCTTGTTGATTTCCACAGAGTTTGTGTGTCGTTTGTTTTAATGTTAATAATTTCAACTGCACTAAGCTCCTTTTAGTGACTCGTCTTATTTCTCAGCATCAGTTACAATTGTTTCCGTGTAGGTGCTGTAGAGACATATTTAGGAAAAATTGTCTTGGAAAAGTAACTTTGTTAGCAACAGCAATGCAGTGTCTGTGTATACTGTATCTTCTTGGGCATAGTTTGATTTACGATAAAAATAATGCTTTTCTTCCATGTTCAGTAATTTTATGAAATAAACTTTAAAAAATCTGTATTACCTTGTGATCCAGAAAAACAATTAAATTGCCTTGTGATCAAAAAATTAACTTCTTCAGTGAGTTTGTAAAATCCAGTCTATGCTTATGAGCTCACATAGCCCTAGAGGAATCTTAGAAAATTAATATTTTAATATTAATGAAATTGTTTGTCTTGTACTTTACATCTCAGGCCCTCCAGTGGGAGGTTTTATTCTGTCTGGTTTTTTAAGTGTGTTATATCAGAACTATGTGGCGAATGGGCAGCAGACAGTGTTCAAACACATTTTATTACTCCTTTTTTAAATACATCAAGAAATATGAGCAAAACATGGGATATTTTTCCTCATTGACTTTTCCCAGATATGGGAATTTAATTTAGAGCCAAACTTTGTTCTTTTGACTTGGGAACAATTGCTTTGATCTAGTCAGAGATTTGTAAAGTTTCTTAATAGATTGAAGGAAGATTATTTTTTTAAGATTTTTTTTTTTTTGAAAGGGCTTGGTACAGGTAGTTTAATCAGCAAAATGTTGCTTTCACCCAAACAACACTCTCTGTTACTGCTTCCTGCACTTGTAGATAATTTCTCTGGTTCCACATTGTAATGGCTGACAGGCCTGGGTTATTTTAAAATATGTGGCTTGAAGAATAATACTGTTGTGTGATTCCAAAACTGACATACCCTCAGGGAAATATGGGCTCTTGAACCAAATAATTTGCCTCATTCCTTGAAAATTATAATACTACTAATATAAGTCCCCAGTATTATGGGAAATCTTTACTTCTTATCTTCATTTGAAGAGGCATAGTAAGCATGAAGAGAATGTTATATCGGTTAAGGACTTGGGAGGAGAAAGAGTATGCTCTGTTCTCAGTCTGTTTCTAGTAGGGCTTGTTTTTCTTCTGAGTAGTGTGAAACCTTTTCTCCTTGTGCTCAATCTCTTAAAAGATGACACCAGCATTGAGCAAGAGAGGTTAGTAGCATATAGGGAACATTTATTGGCATTAATTCTGCAGTCTCTGGCTTGCACCCACAAAGCACAGGTCCTGCATCATGAGAATCCCTTTGATATGCTGCAGTAACAGGCTTTGAAGCCTCTCTTAGAGGAGAAGCTGGGATGATCTTGAGAGACCAGAGAAGCACCCACTTTGGAAGTCTTTTCTTTTCTTTTGCTCTTCCATACGATTTTTCTGGGATCTTCAATGTTGTCCTTATTCCTTTTGCTGCTTTTGCACTTTTTCAACATTCTTCAAAATATTCTCCTCTAGTGAGCAAGTCAGCATATTTAAGAACTTGGCTTGTGCTTCTTTGAATGTTTACTTTTTGTCAGAACACAAACCTTTTTATTAATGATGGACAGGTTTGCAAAAACCTCCAAATGAAAAGCTTCCAGCACTAGTATATTGAATGACAGACTTTTTAGATTCAAAGTTGGAATTTCTTTGGCAAAAAATAATAATTATGCAATTTTTCTAGAGGCAAGGATTCAGATTTCTAGTATGATCTGCAGTGCCAGCTTTTTTTTTGCTACTGCACTGCATATTAGTGTATTGTTCCTTCAGTGTTTCCTGAGTCCCTACAGAAACCGTTGGGTTTTCATCGTAGAGCTCTTGGAAAAGAAATGAGTACTTCAGTGTGATTTACATCTCCTGAGGTCAGGAAAAGTTGTCCTGTATCATCTTTTAAGAAAACTGAGAAATGGAGAAGGGATGAGAAACCATCTTGAGGTCTGTTCTTAACTCTTTAAGTGTATGTTTTTGATAGAAGTCCTTTTGCCACATCCATTCCATGTATTTGTGGTAAAATCAATATAAGCAGGACTCCCTTCTGCTCTGAGACAAATGTTATGGCCTTGTCATGAAGAAATTTCATGTCGGGTAGCTGCAATAACAGAACCACACCATTCAGTGACTTAAAATAGAAAATTTTACAGAGTAGGATGGGTAGAGCAGGTGGATAGTGATTTACATTCTAAAACTTCTGTTCCCCAACACACAGGCTTGCATACGCACACAAACACACATGCATGACACCAGTCAATGCACCTGTTTCGGTCCAGTTGTGGCCTGCCCTATAGCGCTGGGGGAACAGCGTATTCATTCTGATTGCTTGTCATGTCTGTGTTGTGGCTGGCGGCATAGCTTCTGTATGTGAACAGTTGAGCATGGTCAAATCAATGTAAGCTGGACTCTCCTACCTTCAAACTGAGGTAGGAGGGGCCTATGCTTGCATCAGGGACCAACTGACACAACTTTTAAGGTGAGCTGGTTTAAGGCAACAAGTTTCTGGGTTGTTTTTTTTTAGCAAGGGATAACAAACATGCTAAAACTATAACTTGAGATGAGTGAGTGTAAATAACGTAATGGCTACAAGTTGTGTGGTGGTGGAGCCAAGATTTCCTTCAAAATTTCTGGATAGTGTATCTCCAAAGTTTAGGTTTTGGCACCTAAGGATTTTTGGGTTGCTTAGAGGGAGGGATTTTAAGTGTGCTGTATGTATAAAGCGCTCTACAAATATGAAGGAATTGCATTTGCAGTCTGTGCTAGATGAGGACTAGCAAGTTGGCAATATAAAGTTGTCAGTAGAGTAAATTTCTGATAATCTGTTGCAGTATTTCAAAATATTTGAATATGGGTATTTTACATGGAGCAAGTAAATTAAGTTACGCCGTTTGACACTGTCCCTTGAGAGTAGAGTTCTGTAGATAGTAATTGTTTTTGTTTCTAGCATTTACAGCTGTAGAGTAGACTGATAGTCACAGTACATTCTCCCATTGCTATAGCTTTGTTGATGTGCTGCTTATGGTTTCCAAATTTCTGGGAATTCAAAACTGTTCTGATGTCATTGTTTCGTCTGTCCTTTCCATGCCTTTTCCTAAATGGATATAGGAATGCAACAATCTCCTAACCAGACATCAAGAACAGGAAAATCAAGGAAAGGTATTCTGTACAGTAGCATTTCAAATATGAAACATGTTGTATGATATACAAATGCTAACACATCTATGATGTTTTTTATCCTGGAGGACCCTATTTTGATGGGTTTGGTTTTATAAATTAGATTTGAGAGCAGGCTTTGGGCGCTTTTTATTTGTTAGCATGTTTTGCATGAGTCCTTTATTATTGAATTGAGTGTTTGCTTTGTGTCATTAGTGATAGTACATTTTTTTTTTTTTTAAATGTGTTCTGTTGCTCCAAAATAGAAATGAACTTCAATTAAAGTGGAAACAAGCAATCCCCAGAGACTGCTTTTCTAGATCCCATCTCTGTGGTAGGGCATCAAGGTCTGTCTGAAAGCTAGCTCATGAACTTCCTCTATTGCCTTCTAAAGGATAATGTGACCTGGTTTTGGTCATTGCTTAAAGTTACTATACATTGAAAGCAAAAGTTCAGGTAACTTACTCAGCTGGTTTGATTAATTATAACTGTACTAATTGAAAATATAACTGAAGTCACCTGTCAAGGGTTATAACTGATTGCTCCACCCTGTCCACCCAGTTCTGAGAGACAGGTTTTCATTCAGCTTGGGAGGTTAGCAGGTAGATTAGACTGCGGGTACTGAGTGAGTTAACAGAAAATTGCGGTATATAAAACTATTTAATATTTTTAAATAGTATGTGTTTGTAATCGGAAACATTAAAAATCAGAGACTGTGTTGGTATTTTAACTGTTTTAGCTTGTCCTCACACTGGAAGTGTCAGCCTCTAGGTTTTGTCTACATGACATGTCTACACTGAACATGTATACTTTATTTCATTGTCTGAAATCCTTGTTCAGGTCAGGAGTTGTACTCATCAAAGTTCCCACATAAACCCTGTTTCTAGGACAGACAAAATTTGCATGCTCATTTGTGGTTTACTGATAGTAGAAGAGATGTCTTCAGGCATGGTATGCCTTTGTTTTCTTTTTCCTTTAATGATTTTGTCCAAGACCTCGGTTTGGTTGTCATCATATGACTTCATGGAAGGTCACCTATCTCCTGTTTATAAGCAACTACATTTTGTTATGATAGTTAACAAGAATTAGTTTTTGAGAACTGAGGAATGCTGAAATAGCTACTATGTGGAGGTTATATTTGTTTGGTTTTTTTCCCTTCTGTCTTGGGAATTGAAGAGCCCTTTTATTTCATCTTAGTTATTGATAGTTGAGAGGTTTTAGCATTCTTCAGGCTGGATTCCTAGACCTCAGATTTCATTAGTACATCAGTGATGTGCTAGAGTGCACTCTCATCGAGTCTGCAAATGGCCCCAAATTGGGGGCATCAGTAGATATGCTTCAGGGCGGCGCTGCCATTCAGAGGGACCTTGACAAGCTGGGGAAACGGTCAGTCCCATCTTACAAAATTCAGCAAGGGCAAATGCCAAGTCCTGCACATGGAAAGGAACAACCCCTTGCTACAGAACATGCTGGGACTGCCTGGCTGGAGAGCTGCTTTGCTGAGAAAGCCCAGAGAGTCTTGGCAGAGAGTGAGCTGAGCATGAGCCAGCAAGGTGCCCTGGCAACTGAGAAGGTCAACAGTGTCCTGGGCTGTATTAAGAGCAGCGCAGCCAAGAGATTGAGGGAAGTGATTGTCCACCCCTACTTGGCACTCCCTGGATTGTGTCCAGCTCCCTGGGTATAATTTTGAGCCCCCAGTGCAAGAGAGATTGGTCTTTCAACAGTGAGCAAGTTCAGTAGAGGGCCATCAAACTCGTCAGGGGCAGGAGTACTTGCCCTTTGAGGAGAAGCTGAGGAAACTGGGCTCGTTCAGCCTAGCGAAGAGGTGACTTTGAAGGGGACCTAACAGCAGCTTCCAGTACATATGGGGAGAAGACAAAGCCAGATGCTTTCCAGTGGTGCATGACAGGAGGCAGAGACACAAGAGGCATAAATGCAAACAAGAGAGTTTCTAACTGGGTGTGAGAGGCTTCACCATGATAAGGACAGTAAAACAGAGTGGTTGTACAGCCTCCCTCCTTGGAGGTGTTCCAGACCGGACTGGATAAAGCCCTAAGCAACCTTGTCTGACCTCATAGCTGAGCCCGCTTTGAGGAGGCGGTTGGCTAAGAGACTTCCTGAGGTCTTTTCTGACCTGATTTATCCTATGATCCTACATGCAGGTTGCCTTCATAACACTGGTGAAAGCTTGCAGTGTAGTATAGAATGCCCTGGTTATGCCCCTTTTGTCTGTTGAATACCCTTTTTGGTGCAGTGTAGAGAACCGCTGGTGATTCTTCTACCTGAGGATAAGTTTTAGATCTTGATTATGCTTTTTTGATTTTCTTTACCTTTTCAGAATAATCTGTAACTGGGTAGAGCAGCAGATAGTGTAATATATAGGATAATGTTATACATAATGTTACATAAAATAGTAAAATCTCTGCATGTGATGTATACTTGTGTGTGTAATACGAGTACTTCATAGGTTCATTTACTTACTGTCTTGCTAAACCACCACCATTTTGTTAACTGTTTACTAACATAGCATATTCATGCTATGCTATTTTTTTTTTAGTTTAGAGATGTTTCTTAAACCTCTAGGTATAAGAGTCCAAAGGAGATATAACTCTGGTCTTTTTTGTTTTGGTTTTTTTTTATTTCAGTTTGGCTTGAAAAAGCAGTTGTTTTGGAAACACATTTATTCATGCTGTCTTGTGTTGAATTGACTACCCAAAGTTTCATTCTGTTATGATCTGTAGAGTTGTCCATGTTAAATGTTTATATGTACTGGTTAATTTTTAGCATGCCAAATCTAATTTCAACATGTCAATTAATGTTTGAACAGCAATAGATGACTTTTCCCAAGGAGACTCAATAAGGTGAGATTTTAAAAATACCTAACACTTGCGTGAGGAATGACTTGAGAGACACAGTACTCATTTTGCTTTGCTTTTTAAGAAGCTCTGAGAAAGAGGGGAGTGATGACAGCTGGCATACTTCTGAGGAAGAAGAACTCGATTTTACCCCCAAGGTATGGTGTCTTTACAGGAAAAACGTCCTGTAAAAATAAGTGATTTGAAGGCAAGTTTTATCTGGGACTGAAAGAAACTGCAGTTCCAGCCAATATTGTTTTCTTCTTGGAAGCAGTCTCTGGCCTGCCAGACTTTCTTCTGCTGTGAGTTTTTCCTGAAAGACCTGTAGCTGTGGCAGACCATGCAGTAGATTTGTAGTTTGGGGCAAAAGAGCAATAGGTGACGAGATAAACAACCACATTGTTTTATTTGTTCTTGTTCATTTGAGTCAGATTTGCAGACCCTAAAAGTTTATAAGTTACTATTATAACCTATTCTGTTCTCCTCCAAACGTTGTTATTGTTTCCTGCAAATTTAGTGATAGAATCCTAACTGATAAAGAAAAAGGGTATTTATTTATCAAGACCTACTGAAATCCTTCATCACCTAGTTCTCTTTTCCTCCTCGTAAGGGTCCTCAAGAGCGCTCAATGGATGAGTTACTCAAATGGGTCGTCTTTTTTCTTATATGAGATGGCATTCTGTGCTTGCGCGCAATCTCACATTGCATGTTTTCCCTCTTTTTTGAATGCTCAGGTAGTGTTCTTTTTGTCAGCTACAAGCTCTTGCACCTACTGTTTTTACTGATGTTCTGAAGGGTTATCAACTTCTGCAGTGATGTCTGGAGCATCTATTCTGTTGCACTGGGATTCTGCAGTGATGAGGAACCTGAGTGTGGTAGTTAAACCCACTCTGTAATGCTGGTGATGCATGTTTAGTTTTAACATGATTTCGTTTTCTTGCGCTGATTTAAATAGAAATGATGCATTTTTCTGGCATGACTTCGAAATTGAGGGATATTGTGGTAAATGTACTAGCAGGGACTAATTTATGCATTAAGTCTAGGGATCTTAACAGTTACTTGCGTTGTGCACATTTGCAAGTAAGCATCCTGAAACTGTAATCTTAAATATAGCTGAATTTTACTTAGGTATTACAAATTTTAAAAACAGATTTTTAGGACTGTTATGCATGTAAACATAGCTTTGGAAACAATTTGCAGATGGGTACCTGCACAGTGTTTTGGGGTGAAGTACTCACTGAATTGCATATGTGAGGAGTGTTTGTGTAGTTAGAACTATAGGACGGAGCAGCACCTGACTACTGTCAAAAGGACAGACTGATTATATTCACCGTTCAAGATTTGATGTCAACAAATGAGTTGTTGTTACTGTTTAAAAAAAAAAAAAAAAAGGTTTTGCTTAAATAAATCTTTATTTACAGAAGCTGCAGAAGCCAAACTTGACATTGCTAATGAATGCTTCCCAGCAGTTCAGGAAAAACAGTAAGCTATTTGGAAAAGATTGCATGATATACTGATATATAAAAGTAGACTTGCTAAGTAGGTTTTTTATAATTTTTTTTTTCTCTAGTAAATGAGAAAAGTAGCATTTTGAAAATATAGCACTTAGTCATTTCAGAAAAAAAAAAGTCATATTGTTAAAATGAAGATATTAATCCCCTCCTAAGCCTTTGTCCCTGGTCAAGTCCTTCCTTCATCCTGCCCATCCCTTACCTGGCTCCTTTTCCAGATATTCCCGGATGACTCCTCTTCTGTGCATTAATCTGGTAACATGCCTATTGCTATTTACATAACTCCTTTTGTTCACATGCATTTTTCCTTTTCTTGTGCTTTAAGATGATGGTGATGGTTCTAGAATTGAAAGTCCTAAGTCACCAAAGAAAAGCCTCAAACAAAGAACCCCATCAAATGCAAACCTGAACAAAGGAGATTGTGGAGAATTATTGAATAAAGATGTCTCAGATGCAAGCAACCTGGAGGAAGAAGAATTGGAGGAGGAGGAGGAAGATGATGATGAAACTGACAATGGAGATGATGATGAAGATTATGAGGAGGAAGAGGAAGAAGAGGAGGACGAAGATCTTACTCAAGATGAAAAGGAGGAGGAAGATCTGGAAGATGAAGAAACTCAGTCTAATGACATACTGGAGAAGGAGCAGGGGGAGAAAACAGAACCTAAACCTAAAGGGGAAATGAATCAGCAACTGGAGTATTTTAATAATGCTAAGTATGAAGGGGAAGCTCAGTGTGGAACCGGAGATGTCTGTGATGATGATCATAAAGTAAGTAAAGAACCTGATGAAAAGGTGGAGGAATCTGTTGATACTCCTGTGTCTTTTATAACCGGGTGTTATGAAAGATTGCAAGAAAATATAACTGCCATGCCTCCGAAGATAATGAATAATGAAGTATCTTGCAAGTCAGTACCAAAACAAGCTGTCTTTCAAAATCTAAATAATTTGCAAGATACACAAGAAAGCTGGAACAGGAAAAGCGTGATTCAGGAGAAGTTTCACATAAATGCTGACTCCTGTTTTGCAGACTCTGAAATGAAAAAAGAGATACCTCAGCCTCTCTCAGATAGTTGTCTTGAGAAAAAGTCAAGCTTCAGTGATGGCTTTGAAAGTGGTGATAATTCTTGGTCAGCAGCAAAAAACCCAAAGCTTGAAAGTCAAAGACCGAATTCTGTCGTTCTTGAACATGTGGATGATGAAGATACTGAAGAAGAGCAATATGAAGAAGTAGATGATAAAGTCTGTGAAGCAGTGAAACAAGAAAGTGAAAACTTGCACTTAAATAAGCATGAAGAAAACTTAAGAGCAGCATTTCACTCAAGCACCAAAGTAAGTAGGGATGATTCAATCACAAGGGTATGTTCTAAGGGTAATATAGGTAAGAAACAAACAGTAAACTGGATTTCTGTTAATACTTATTCTTCACGTATATCCACCTTTTGATCATCGTTTTTTGATATTAGAAAATGTCTTACTCCTAGCCAAAGCAGTTTCTTAGGTATAAGAATAATATCAGGCAGTATTTTCAATAATTTTTTTTCTATTGGTTACAGTGGCTTTGCAGGAAAAAGAATAACCAGTAGACTTTTTCTGGAATCAATTAAATTTTTCTCAGTTGTATGTACAGATTTTATCTGTGAAGATTTAGTGCCATTTAGTAAAGTTCATGGTGTGATGGCTGAAAGTGAGGAAACAAAAAGAAGTTTGAATAAGATTGAGAGTGATTTTCCATGGAGCAAAGTAGAGGAAAAGAAGGAATGTGTTCCAGAATGATGTAACTTAAATGAAGCTAGAGTTAGACTGACATGAGGAAGTGCTTCTCAGGGGCTTTGCAGAACCAGGGGTGAGACTTAACGACATTAGACATTGCTGTCTACTCATATAGATTCCCTTGGAATAACTGAAGGCCTTGTAAAACAAAGCTCAACAAAGTTTCCCTTTTGTCTTACACAAGAAAAGTATTTTTCAAGTCATCAATGGATGGCGAAGAAGATGCTTGTTTCTGTTCTTTCCAGCTGTTTTGGTCAATCTCTTTTTAGGAAGAATCACCTGAACGGGAAGAAGAGGAGGAGGAGCAGAAGGAAGACACTGATGAAGAGCTACAAACTGCAGTTGTTGAGGGTGTGAAAAATTCTATTTGTAATGATAGCCATCAAGTCCACAATGCTTCAAAAGACAATGCTGGTGAGAGAAATGAGTTAGTAAATACTGATCCCAATTTTTCCTCTATAAATATTAATGCACAGTAAATGAACTAAAATGGTGATTGACTTCTGAGATAACAAATTTTGCCCTTGCCTCTGAATCCTAGTGGGCACTGGCAGAAAAGGAAAGCAGCTTTTGTTCCTTTTCATTCATTTTTGAAGAACTGAAATTGTGGCATCAGATTCCAAACGATGCTATATGAAGCAAGTGCCATTCTTGCTTTTGTTGCTGTGTTCTCCCTGAAGTGGTCTGAACAAAATGCGCAGGTGAAGAAGAGAAGGAGGACTAGAGTGTCTTGGGTGTGACAGTAGTATTCCCCTTTCTGGCCCATACTGTAGGATTGAAAAGCTGTGATTGCTCTTGGCTGAAGCCTGGGAAAGATTTGAGTCAAGCTGAGAGAAGGCTCTTCTGTTCCAGTGCCTCACCTTGTCCAGTTTTAAAATGTAGAAGGCCTCTCCAGTGCCACACTTGCATGTGCTTGAAAGCATTACCAGCTCGGTCAGAGCTGAGCACTTTGGTACTCGCTTCAGGCCTCAGAGCAGGAGGCGAAGGCACCATTTCCATTGTCTGTCTCCAGAGTAGCTTGGTGTGGTAGATGTTACCAGAGCATGTGTAGCTGCTGATCAAATGCTACACAGGGGGCCTGGCAGAACCTGCTGTATTCAAGTGTTGTACCTATACATGCTTTTCTGTCTCTATGCATTTTACCATAAGCATGAGTTTGGCATAGTGTAAGTAGTCAGAGCCCAGGCTGGAACCAGCAGTTGCCCTCTTCCGGAGTGGGTGTCCTCACTGCTCTCCAGCTCCTTCCCCCCCTTCTTTGTGTGCATGTCTCCACATGAGTGAATCCTGAATCAGTTTTACTTAATGGAGTAGCTTAAAACAGAGAAATTAAGATAGTCTAATCTGGCCAGGAACCCACTGAGACTGAGCCTTACGTTCGTCTGGTAGAGAAGAGATTTGGATGTTAACCCCCTGAGATAAAACGGCTTTTGTGTGTTTGGGGTGAGTGTTTGAGCTGTGAGCCTCTACTCTATGTTTAAATGGCAATGCTTAGGTGTCTATCTTATGGGTAGGTGCAGGGTAACGACTCTCTGACAAGGAAGATCTTTCCTGGTAGCACTACAAAAGGAGCATTGTTTCTTGGTGATTTTAGTGATGTTAGTGTGAGGATGTTTTGGATAGTGTTTCTACAGTACCTCCTATACTGTGGAAAGTGGTAGTAAATGCCAAATTCTGGAGCTGTAGGCTGGAGAGCTGGTGACCTAAACTCTGTATACCACAGGACTGCAGGGTGCTGGAGTCTCTTCCTGAATGTTAACCAAACATTGTTGGGTGTTGCTTGTAGCTGTGTCTGCTGTTGTACATAGCTATCTTCTGCTGGAAAGGAGGCAAGAGGAGGTGGCGATGTAAAGGAAATATCATGATGTGGCCGAGTATGAAGAAACCTTTGAATAACACTCACTTCTTAGTTTGTCCTCAGCAGTAGAACCACTGCACATCTTTTGGATTCAGGGCTTGACTGATGGGGAAAAGCAGAGTGAAATATAAACACTCAGTGTCTCACTTACCTTGTTTGTAGGTGCCCTGCCAGCAGTGGGAGCAGAGGAAGAAGAAGATGCTGAATCTCCCTGGGATTCTGAGGTACTTTCTGTGAAGGACATGGGGTTTTCCACCAGAGGTGGGAGAGGAGGGGAGGAGTAAGATCCAGAAGCACTTGAGAGCTTGCTTTTGACTTGGGCCCTACCGTTGATGAGGCTTATTTCCTCTTTTCCTGCTTCTGCCATGTGTTTGTAACTGGGGGCCCTTGAAATACTTCTGCTCTAAGCCAGCTGATCAGTCCCATCAGATTGGGATGAAGTTAGGCCAAGCTAACAACTTGGGTCTCATAACAACTGGCCATTAAGTTTGGCTTCTAGTATAGTATTAAAGCAGTGAAGTTTCTTGCTGTTTAAAATAGTCCGAACTTTTCACAGGGGCTGGCAAGATTGTTGCTTTTTCACCATACAGCTTTATTCTGCTGACCTGGTCAGTGGTTGCCCTTAGGGTCTGCAAGTTAAGCGCTTAGCTGCTTCTGAACAGATCCTTTCTACCTTTTGTAGGTGTATTTCAGCCCTCTTTGAAAGTCACGTTCAACAGAGATACCACACATGCTGGCTGCGTTTGCTCTTTTAGTTCTTCCTGTCTGTGGTAATGGGCTAGAAGAAAATGAGCAGGGTCTGTAGCTAATCCCCTTTGGCTTTTTCTTGTGAAGAAAAACGAACTCTTCCCCACCCCCTCCTTAAAAACACAAGACTAAATTTTTTTTTTTTTTCTTCTAGGTAGCCTTAGTTTCTGTAAGCTTTGCCTTGCTAGTCTTTGTTCAACCCAAATCGCCCTTGCGATTGGGAATAACGATGTGTTTACTCACCACTGCAGGATACATGCACAAACCTGAATGTCAGGTACAAGTTCAGTACAAATGTTGGATCACCACAGACCTGCAGTTATTGGTTCACAACCCGCATCTTCAGTCACCGTGTTAATTCTCTTTTGTGGCTGTCCAGTTTGTCAAGGTTTATCAACATGACAGAATAGTTTAGATAAGTTGTGAGGTTTTTGCTTAAGATCTGAAAACACACACAACTACTGTGATTTTTCCAATATACTATGTTTTGATGTGTCCTTTCCAAGGGTCTTATCGAAGGTTTTTGTATCTCTAATATACTTGATAGTATGCTATGCAAGTTTGCTTAGCAGGAGATTTTTGCATAGAAATGAGTTGAAAATGCATTTGTACCAATTCTCATGCATGTGTTTTAGATTATACAGACGGATTCTGGAAGTCCAAGAAAAGTTTCGACTGGTGTGTTGCTCCCAGCTGCAGACAGACATGGAGCATGCTCACAGGTTGTTTCAGGGGAACACGACAATGGTAACTTCATGGTGGACTAAATGCTTGTCTGTAAGCATTTATAGGCTAAAGTGAACTTTCATCAGTGTCTATCATAGGAATGATGTTATGATGTGGGTGTGCACTATAGCAATGAAGTGCTTAGTATTTGTTAATTAACACCATTTATCATAGCACTTGCTGGCCAGTTTGTAAAGGAAGTTGTCTTGTTTGCATTATGTGTGTTCTTTGGAGGTGTTTGTATTTTTGGGGGTTCAGGTTCTTGTTGCATAGTGATGAAAGTGTATGTGGTTTAGGACTGACGTGTCTGAACACTTATATATTCTTGGATGATAATGCAGCAGAAGAAAGCTATGATCTGGCTAAGCTTTGTTTTTTTCCTAGCTTAATTCCTGATAGCTTGCTGTTGTGCTTTGCCTAGGAGCTAAAATGTGACTAAAAGTTCAGGTTTTGTTGCTAAGGGTTTCTGCCTGTAGTTTATGACACTATCTCTAGAGCATCTTGAGCATAGGATGGCAGGGAAGTTTTGCTGTTGGGGTAGAACTCTTTTCTGAAGGATTTCTCCTTTAACAAATGGTTTGTCAATCCTGCTTGTAGTATAGGTACAATAGAATAGCTGAAGAAGCTAATCCAGTTGTAGCTTAGTAAGCTGGAAGTAAAACTTTACAAGCTCCCGGGAGCTTGTAAATCTACTTGTTGAGTAGTTGTCATGGAAGTCTGCTTTGTATGATTTTACTAAGATAACTTTAAAATCAGTGTGAAAAGGGGGTAAAAGGCAATTATGGTAATATTTGTAAGGTATTTCAGTACTGCTAGGCCACCAAGTTTACTGAAATCAAATACTGTTTGTTTTTCAATGATTTTTTTTTTTTTTTAAATATAAAAATTTTGCTGTGGAGCCTTTCTTAGTAACATTTCATATACTTCTTTCATGAGAGGACTCAAACTTTAAGATGACTAAAGCAGAGGATTTGAGAAATATAGGTGGGCCAGTAGATTGTGTGGGTTTGGAAATTATTTAATGTTGGACAAAAATTTAAAAAAAAAAAAAAGCATTTCAGCGAAGCCACCGAGGCGAAGGGCTCCGAAGCGGAGGATCGCGCCGGGGGACCCTTCCTGAAGCGGCAAAACCGCGGCAAAACCCACAAAAAGCGAAGGCGCGGGGAGTGAGAGGGTGCCCCAGCCCCCCACCCCGAGCCGGAGGAGGGAGCCCCTGACGAGCGGCAGCCCGGGC